TCCCCCAGGAATTGCTTTGGACCTCTATTTTTTTCCACTCTCAAAAAAGGAATTAAGAGTTTCTTCAACCAGGCCTTTTCCATTATGCTAAGAAGAATTTTAACTGTTGTTACTGATGTTAAACTTGTGTATATTTTATCTTAAGCTTCTGAATAGCCTCAGGCAGAAATGTGGGCTAGGAATTGAACAACATCCAACCCCAAAATGAACAACATCCAACCCCAAAATGAAATAATTTATTCAATTTCAGTCTTGCTTTTTTATTCACCTGAAGGTTTAAGAATGTCTTTGCATGAAACCTAGAGACACAAGAGGTTTAACACAATCTTTTGGCAATGTTTAGTCTGCATTTGAAAGAACAGAATAACAAAATAACAGAATTGGAAAAGATCTTAACAGAATAATAGAATAACAGAGTTGGAAGGGACCTTTGAGGTCTTCTAGTCCAAGATCTTATATTAGCGGTCCCCAACCTTAGCAGCCTAGCTGATAGGGGGAGAGGAGAACTGGGCCATATGAGTGGTGGGCAGGCATGCATGAGGACATACGCAACTCAACTCAACTTGTGCGAGCAGCAGGCCGGCATGCATGCACACACAGCTCAACTTGAGCTGCCCACATGTGCACATGCATCCCAGCCCACTACTCATGTGAATTGAGCATGCAGGCGCACGCTTGCACAGTCTAGTTGCAAATAGGCCATGGTCCGGGGGTTAGGGACCCCTGCCCTATACCATTTCAGACAAATGATTGTCCAATCTCTTCTTAAAAACTACCAGTGTTGGAGCACCCACAACTTCTGGAGGCAAGCTGTTCCACTGGTTAATTGTTCTAACAGTCAGGACATTTCTCCTTAGTTCTAGGTTGGTTCTCTCCTTGGTTAGTTTTCATCCATTGCTTCTTGTCCTCTTTTGTGGGCCAGCTTCAAATGCATTTGGCAGCTTGTGACCTACTAAACAGCTGGAGAATTGCATTTTGTTTTCTCCTTAGATTTTCTGTGGCTGCTGAAACAGCTCTTCTTGCTTTAAAAAAAAAAAAGAAATGACCTTTTTTAAGTAAAGGAAAACAAATCCTCATTTTGATGACACCATCTGCCCTGGTTTCTTAAGACTCAGTGCAATAACTTCAGTGAGGCCACTCTAAAGGAAATGACTGAAGACTATGAATTTCCCCATTCCATGATCTAGGACATTATCCTGAGCCTCTCTCTTCTCATATATAGCAATGCACCTATGTGAAATTTCTATACAAAGAAACTCCCTTTCTTCCATAAAAGAAAGACTCCCTAATCTTCCTTTATATTATTTAAGACAAATCTTTAAATTGGACTCAGAAGTGAGTTGAAAAAGTAAAGCTGATTGTATGGGATAATATTATTGTCCTTGGCCACTTAAGGGAGTCTCCAGATACTTGTTCAGAAGTTCATAATCACTCTTTCCACTGAATTAATAAATAAAATGGAAAGACAGAGTTGTCTGTTGTCTACTACACCTATGGATGAAATGTTAATTCAAACTTATAGATGACTGAGGACAGGGAATACATTTCTTCTTATTTAATGTATATTTCCTAAATTTATATCCAAATTAGTACAGAATTTTAATCCCAGATACATAATTCCTTGAATTACAAGGTGAAGCTGGATAATAAAAATGTCTTAAAATTAGTACATTGTGTAAAAACAAAAATCTCCAACAATAAAAATGTACGTAGGAGGAAGCATGCAAACTGAAACATGTATCATGAGGAAAAGCACATTTAAAAATATGTACGGTACATTGGGGAAAATGGGCAGGAATACACACAGAGATTTTTGTGTTATCTTTTTAAAAAAGAATTCACAAATAAATATATTAAGAAGTTGAATTTCATTACATTCTCAGTTTACTTTAGAATTTCCTCATAATTTCTTTGGATTATGTTTTTCAATATATAATAAGCATTCCTCAACCTCAGGGACAATGAGATTGGCTGGTAGAAATTATAACAAATGCCATATGCTTAGAGATGCAAACGTTTAAAGTATTATCTTCTCTCTTTTTCTCCACTGAGTTTCACATTTTCCTGGTTATATTCTCACCTTCCTCAAAAGAAAAAGAAGAAAAAGAAAGGCAAGGCAAGGCAAGGCAAGTCAATAGAAGGAAAGGAAAGGAAACGTAAAGGGATAACACTGATTGCTTCATCAATCAACAATTACTTTGGTCTCAATTTAAAACATATCAATTCTTCAAGTACCCCCCCAGGATGTAATAAAAACTAACAACTGCTATTATTACTGAATTTTGTGGGAAGCTAGGCACATTCACCCTTCACCAAGTTTTCAGTATTAAAACTTGTAAGTCGTCCTTTAAAATTTCTTCACATTTAAACACATCTGAGTCTAAATTCTGAACTCAAAATTATTTCCCATCTAAAAACCATGCAGAGCTGAATATAATTTGAGATAATTTCTAAATTTCATGGCAGCATTGGTATGTATTAATAAACAAGTGTGTTTGGCAATTTGTATACACACACACACACACACATTTCTTATGTTCTTTTCTATCCTTCATTTAAATCAGTAGGATAAAATTAAAAAAAATATCCCCAGAAAATTTGTCCCAATTTTGTTGTAACTCAGTATTTTTATAAACAAAAATTGTGCAGGCAAACCAGGAAAAACAATAAACCGGAGTATGATGAGATGTGTATTACTTACTGGGGATCACAGCAGTCAGTATTTGGAGTTGAGATGAGGGATTTAAAACACAACAGATCAAGGAAATACCACAAGATTAAGAACCAAACTCAGACTTGAATGCCAAACTGTAATGAGTTTATTCAGCCATAAGCCTTCCTTCCTAGCAAGGCCCCTGTCCAAAATTGCTCTTAAAAAGAAAACAAAGAAATTATGATAACTGGGCAAGCCTAGTGCTGACTGAAGAGAGATGGACTTCTCTTAAAGAGTTCTTAACGATGATGTTCATATGGCAGGATGTTCTATCACATTGTTTCATCATAACTCGGAATCAAGGGGAAACTTGCTTTTCCTGTATTCCCTATATGAAATAAATCTCCCATGTATTTTCCAGAGAGCCTATGCTTTGACTGTGGAGCAGTACTAGCAATGCTTCTGGACAAGCATCTATCATTACTGCTGGAACTATGCAATACATCTGAGCTATGCACAGAATCTGAAATGGGAGGAAAGCACAGCTGTGAGGATTACAATGTACCCCATGACAAGTTTTTAATACTGCAAGGAGAATGGGCAACTGAAAATACAGATTTGGAGAAAGCAGCTGGAGCGTTCTTTCTTGTGGCTAATCCTGAAACACAAAGAGCCTTCTTTGAGTCTCATCCTATCGTTAATTCACCTTCCATTAAGATACTGATGACAGAATCAAGAATGCTAAATAATGGACAGTAAATGAAAACAAGGGGTTCCAAATAAAGAATGCTGACCTCTCGTCTAAATGCATTGAATTCTTTCCCAGATGTACAAATGTTGTGTAAAGACTTAGAGGGAAAACACCCATTTATCTGTACAGATATTATGCCTGGCTTAATTGGATAAGGGTTGCCTTAACAACTTCCACCGAGGCACATACCAGCATTTGTGAATCAGCACAGCTATCTGTGCTCACATTAGTGAGCACATATGTCTCACTTGTGTCAGATTGCTGCAGGAACAATCTCTAGGTGCCCTTGCTCAATCCACAGCTTCCCATATTTGCTTACTTAATAAAAAGGAGAATCTTTTTTCAAGGTCAAAGACAACTCTTTTGTTTCCTAGTCCTTTTATGATGAGAAGCAGTCCAGAATGGGGTCACCAAAACTACATTTAATGTCAACCCATCTACTATTTTCACAGTATTAATGTAGAACATAGATCATATGGTTGGAAGATATTGGGATATTGAAAGGGACCCTCTGCTCAAGCTGAGGCCCAATACCATTCCAGACAAATGACTTCTTGAAAACGCCAATGCTGAAGCACCTGCAACTTCTGGAAGTGAGTCATTCCCCTGTTCTCATTGTCAGGAAATTCTTCTTTAGTTCTAGGTTGGATGTCTCTTTAATTATCTTCATCCTGTTACTTCTTGTCTTATCTTCAGGTGCTTTGCTGTGACAGTCCCTCAAGTATTGGAAGACTGTTATCATGTCACTTCTACTCCTTCTCTTTGTTAAACTAGTCATACCTAGTTGTCTCAATTATTCATCGTATGGTTGAGCCTCCAAGACCCCTTATCATTTTGTTGTTCTTCTCTGCATTTTTTCTAGAGTCTCAACATCTTTTTTGTATCATGGTGATGTGGTCTTGATACCCATCCTCTAATTTCACTTTTTTTCCTGAGGTTGATAGAAACCTCCCATGAATAGGAACAATTTCAAAAGATCTATTTAACTAAGATTTTCAGACATATCTCTCAGCTCTTTACCCTTGAGGGAGATTGTTTAGAAATCTATCAAGGAAGAAAGCAGCAAAAATGTCATATTGCATAGAGTATTTTTGGCCAGTGCTTCTTTTTATACAAGCTAAAACAAATTTTCTAGGCATATCAGCTCTAGTAAAACAAAACATTTATATTTAATTTTTACACAAAGCCATCTTATCTACATTGTATCTTCACTTACAGGAAAACAGGCACTTCTTTGCTTTCTTGCTGGTCAAAAACATATACTTCAAATCACTTCAGAGAAATGAAATTTCAATACTGTGGCTAAAGTAATGATTTACCATAGCATTTCTCAATTTTAACCACTGGAAATTCTAGGAGTTGCAGTCCATACATCTTAAAGTTGCTGAAGTTGAGAAACTCTGATTTACAATATACCTACAATATTTATCAGAGGTGAAATCTCATGTCCCAATAGCTCACTGTATATCTAAATGTTCCTTCACAACATTTAGCCTACTACTCTGCAAAATAGGCAATGTTTTTCTGTATTCCATATATATGCTAACATCCCTTTTCTTCCAGCAAAAGGAAAATTATCAAAACAATTTTGTAGTAATATGATTCCACAAGCCAAATTTCTCCTTATCTAAAGGCTCCTTGGAAAGAATTTGATTTCAACAGCCAGTCAAATTCTCTTAGTCAAGTGTTTTTTTCTTCCAGGGTCTCCCATCTTACTTGCTTTACATATCTCAGAGAACAGGGTTGAATCCAATGCCTCTTTTCAATTTGGCTTCTGGGATGCTCTCACTGGTACCATGGATCAAGTAATCCTGGTCTTTTCTATCTGCATCCAGCTTTAGAGCAGGTACTTTGCAAATAGGAAGCTCCACCATCAATTGTTAATACCTCCAGTGTAAGGTGTAAAGTACTCTGTGATGGAAAAATCCTCTGCCTGAGAATAAAACAACAACAACAATAACAATAATAACAACAATGACAACGATAACAACGATAATCATCATCATCATCATCATCAACATCAAGATGCCCCACGAAAATAACATTAAGAGTCTGGATGAGGAAGATTATTACAAATACTTGGATATCCTTCAAGCTGACAACATCAAGCACACTGAAGTCAAGAAAAAGATTAGAGGTGAATACATCAAGAGAGTGAAGAAGATCTTAAAGTCCAAACTCAATGGAGGAAATACCATAAAGGCAATCAACACCTGGGCAATCCCAGTCATTAGGTACACAGCTGGAATAGTAGACTGGACTCAAGCAGAACTAAAAGCAATGGATAGGAAGACCAGAAAAATAATGACAATGAATCATGCCCTTCATCCACCCAGTGACATTGACAGACTTTATCTACCAAGACAAATAGGTGGGTGTGGAATTCTACAAGTACATCAGATGGTTGAAGAAGAAAAAAATGGCTTTGGAAGAATATCTGAAGAACAATGATGAAGATGCATTGAAATTAGTATATCAGGAAGGCTTACTGACTACTGGAGAGACCAAACTGGCCTAATGAAGAACCAAATGAAGAACAGAATAGAGGCATGGGAAGACAAAGCACTACATGGCCAATACATGAAAAAAATAGCTGGGAAAGCAGATAATAATAAAACCTGGCAATGGCTAAGAGCAGGAAAATTGAAGAAAGAGACCGAGGGACTAATTCTGCTGCACAAGACCAAGCCTTAAGGACAAATGCATACAAAGTCAAAATTGAAAAGACAGCAACAGACAGTAAGTGCCACCTATGCAAAGAAGCTGAAGAAACAGTGGACCACCTGGTAAGCTGTTGCAAGAAGATTGCACAGACTGACTACAAGCAGCGGCATGACAAAGTAGCAACAATGGTGCATTGGAAGATCTGCAAAAAATATCATTTGCCTGTAAGCAAAAACTGGTGGGATCATAAAATAGAGAAAGTCATAGAAAATGATAAAATTAAACTGCTCTGGGACTTCAGAATTCAAACAGACAAGCACCTGCAACATAACACCCAGACTTAACAATTGTCGATAAGAAAGACAAAAAAGTCTGGATAGTGGATGTGGCAGTGCCTGGAGACAGCAGAATAGATGAGAAAGAACTGGAGAAGATAACAAAATACAAAGACCTACAAATAGAAATAGAAAGACTGTGGCAAAAGCAAGCAAAGGTAGTACCAATAGTGATAGGCTCCTTGGGTGCAATCCCAAAACAACTGGAGCACCACTTGAACACCATTGGCATTAACAAATTCGCTATTAGTCAATTGCAAAAGGCGGCCTTACTAAGAACTGCTTCCATCCTGCAATGATATCTGTAATACCATCACACATCCACATTTGCCTATCCCAGGTCGTAGGTAAGGACTCGATAGGTAGACAAAATGCCAAATCCAGTCTGAACATCTGGCTGATTGTGCGATGATCCATAATAATAATAATAAAGTTTAATGTATTGGAGTTAAAGCATTTTTAATCTTTTTGGATGTATGTATAATTGATTGATGTTTATTTAATTTGTATGTTTTTTCTTGTTTTTTTTAACCCTGTATTCAGCTCTGGGAAGGAGGGGGGAGGATTATGGGGGGAGGGAGGGGGGGAGGTATTTTATTGTAAAAAGTTTATAAAAATTTCAATAAAAAAAAAGTTGGAAGGGACTTGAAGGTCTTCTAGTAATCCAACCCCCTGCTCAGGCAGGTAACCCTATACCATTTCAGACAAATGGCTGTCCAGTCTCGTCTTAAAAACTTTCAGTGTTGGAGCATTCACAGCTTCTGGAGGCAGGTTGTTTCACTGGTTAATTGTTCTGTCAGGAAGTTTCTCCTTAGTTCTAGGTTGCTTCTCTCCTTGGTCAGTTTCCATCCGTTGCTTCTTGTCCTGCCTCCAGGTGCTTTGGAGAATAGCTTGACTCCCTCTTCTTTGTGGCAGCCCCTGAGATATTGGAACACTGCTATCATGTCCCCCTCGTCCTTCTCTTCATTAAATGAGACATACCCAATTCCAGCAACCGTTCCTTTTATGTTTTATCCTCCAGTCCCCTAATCATCTGTTGCTCTTCTCTGTACTCTTTGTAGAGTCTCAACACTTTTTTTACATCATGGTGACCAAAACTGAATGCAGTATTCCAAGTGTGGTCTTACCAAGGTATTGTAAAGTGGTATTAACACTTCATGTGATCTTGATTCTATCCCTCTGTTAATGCAGCCTAGCACTGCGTTGGCTTTTTTGGCAACTACAGCACACTGCTGGCTCATATTTAAGTGATTGCCCACTAGGACTCCGAGGTCCCTCTCACAGTTACTACTACTGAGCAAGGTACCACCTATACTATACCTGTGCGTTTGTTTTTTCTTGCCTAAATGTAGAACCTTACTTTTTTCACCATTGAATTTCAATTTATTATATAGCACCCAATGTTCAAGTCTGTCAAGATCCTTCTGTATCTTAAGCCTATCTTCTGGAGTGTTGGCTCTTCCTGCCAGCATAGTGTTGTCTGCAAATCTGATGAGTTCCCCATCTATCCCCTCATCCAAATCATTGATGAAGACGTTGAAGAGCACTGGGCCCAGAACAGAGTCCTGGGGCACTCCACTACACACTTCCCTCCATGCAGATGTGGTTCCATTGAGGACCACACGCTGAGTACGGCCGGTCAGCCAGCTACAGATCCATCTGGTGGTGATGCTGTCTAACCTGCATTTTTCTATCTTATCAAGTAGTAAGTTGTGGTCTACTTTGTCAAATGCCTTACTGAAGTCTAAGTAAATTATATCCACAGCATTCCTCTGGTCCACTAATTTTGTCACCTGGTCAAAGAATGCAATAAGATTTTTCTGGCATGATCTGTTTTTGACAAACCTATGTTGCCTTTTGGTTATGATTTTGTTTGCCTCTAGGTGTTTGCTGATTTGTTACTTGATAATCTTTTCCAGAATCTTCCCTGGTATTGAGGTCAGGCTGATAGGTCTGTAGTTTCCTCGGTCCATTTTCCCCCTTTTTTGAAGATGGGAACTACATCAGCTCTTTTCCAGTCCTCTGGTAGTTCCCCAGTTCCCCAGGATCTTCAATGGTTCTGAGATCACATCTGCCAGTTCCTTCAGAACCTTGGGGTGTAGCCCATCTGATCCTGATGATTTGAACTTGTCTAGGCTGGACAGGTGCTCACTTACCAACTGCCCACCAGAGCAGACCATAATGTGTTACATAGGCATATCTTTCTTTCTTGAAACAAGCATGACTGATCCATCTAAACAAGGCTACTAAACTCCTAACTTTTTGTCTCTTTTTCTTATTCTAATAATTGTGGAGGGCAAAAATGGTTCTTATCTGCATACAGAGGTATCTACTTTCAGACTTTCAAAACATAGGGGATAACCAGTATATACAATTACAAGAAAAAAAGGATACAGATGTTTAGAATATTGCCATAGTAGGTATTTCTCTCTTCTCTAGATGTAGAGCCTTGTCGAAAACTTTATATACCGTGTAAAGAAATTTTTAAAAACCCACCAAGGCTTATTTCTTCATTTCTGTGTAGACTGCCATTCCCATGTGTCCTGTTTAACTTTTTATTCCCAAGGATTGCTCAGTTCCTGGGAATGTTTTCTACAGTATATTTTTCCTCCTTATCACCTCTGTCAGATTCATGAACAAATTGAAGCCTGTGGTTCTCTGGCATTGTTTGCAATATTTCACTATGGAAATCTGTCAGCTGTTCACTTAAATCCTACACTTCTACAGCCCAGTCCACAAGGGATGCTTTTCCTTGAAACCTGAGTCAGCTTTGATCTCACACAGCAACAGCTTGAGCAATTTTTTATCAAGCCATTGTTGTTTCAAGTACAAATCTTCTGTTTTAATTGTCCCTTCAAGATTATTTGGAAGCCCTTCATTTGCTGTTTGCATACTTCGCATTTTGCAAAAGATATTGCTCCTATTTCTTCATTCTGGTTCCATCACAACAGTTTCTCAATGTCTCTCAAGGAAAAAATATAAACACAACTAATGGCATCATTACACAGTCCTCTGAGGTGGGTTTACTTTTGTTTAGTAAAAAGACTACTCGATCTACCGTATGTTTAAGACTGGGCAAATCCGAGAAGTGAATAAGAAATGTATGTGTGTGTTTGTGTGTGTGTGTTCCCTATGACTAGACACCTATTACACTTTTTTCTTTATGAATAAGATAGCAAATCATTCATTTATATCTTATTGAAATTAATAAGATTTTATTGAAATTATCAAAGTACAAATACAAATGAAAATAAGGATTGTAGAGAACTGGGAAAGGAAGGAAGGGGAAGAGAGAAATGTGAGGTAAAGAGAAAAATGAAAGAAAGCATTAACTTTAAACTCTTTTCAGTACAGTTGTATAAAAATAATAAAGTTACAACCTCAGGTTTTTACTTTTGCATACTTAGCATATATTAACCATTTCTATAACAACAAGCTTATCTAATCAGCAAATCTCAAGGTCAGATTTTTTTTCCCCAGAAACAAAGTTGAATGTATTCTTTGCTTTGATTAATTTGGTTAATTTGCTTACCTCTGTGACAGCAAATCATTCTCAACTGGAGTCTTTATGGTGCCTAAATGAAATGTCTGCTTTGTCCATACTATTAAGCGTGTGAATAAGCAGATTTGTTTTTCTTGTTTTCTGAAAGAAAGGAATATTGCTTAGGGTAAGGTTTTGTTTTCTTTTGTTTTGTTTTTATGAACACTACATGACTATGGTTTGTTTTTATTAACATTACCGCACAATTAATTATGGCAAGGAAAATCATCTTCACACATGATCGTATACAGCTCATCCCCTATTGACATGGCAGCCGCTGTAGGGAAATTTTATAAGCTGATAATTTGGGTCGTCTATTAGAAACAGACAAATTATTTTATTTATCATCTCTGTCAGCATCACATATCTTGATTTATAGGTTTATTCCATCCAGTTCCCATATTCATTTCTGATTTTTTAAAAAAATATTTACACAAATTGTATTTGAATAAGTATTCTGAATGTATTTTCTCATTCTTGTGCTTATAGCCAAGATTCAAACATCTGAATGACATTTCCAGGCATTCACAGTCCCCCAAAAAGACAAATTAGATTGGTTTTTGGCTTTGACTAAGATAAATTCCCCGATTAACTGATGAGTGTCATTGACTTTAGACTTTAAGATTTAACAGCTCAGTAAAAACATGTCATTTTCTTATAGAAAAATAGCTCCTGATACACTCCTTGCTGTATTCAGATGATCAGCCGCATAAACTGAGATTTGTTCCTGCAAACAACTTTGCTCTTTCTTCCTTTCCCCCAGCTCTTTGTGCAAGTCAAAACTATGCTGATCTGTGGTTTCCATTTATGCAGGAGCAGAAATGTCTGATCAGAAGTTTCCAAACAAGTAACTCAACAAGTAATTTAACAATGATTTTATTCACTGCTCTTTTTTTTTAAAAAAAATCCCCATTTCAGTCATAATAAGAAACGATCCTTGATGGGAGACTTTTGGTTGGTTTACTCATTAATGAAAAAACAAAATGAGAAGAGGAGGGACACAACTGAATTCAAGTCCCCGATGTTTTTTTTACATTTTATTTTATTAAGCTGAAGTGTAACTATCCAAACACAACTCATGGGTTCGTAACTCATATATAGGTATCCCTTGACTTATGAGCATAACTGAGTTCAGAATTACAGTCGTAAGTTGTGCCAGTCATTATGTAGGTCAATGATGATTTTATGACATTTTTGTAGTGGTCATTAAATGAACCCATTGTACCCAATGAGTGTTTTTTGCTGGAAACCAGAAGTAAATACCAGTTTCTGGCAAATATATATATATGTGTGGCCCTGTCACGAGGGCAATGAGTAGGCAATTGGATCAGCAAGGGGATAAAAAGAACTTTCCCACCCCCTAAGCCCCACTCTGAGGACGCTGGCAGAGGACCAGCGAAAGCTAAGTTGTTTTAATCTTGTATATAACTGTTTTTATTGTTTTAAATGTTGTTTTAATAATAAATACTGGAGTATACTCTTCCCGGAGATTGAAGATTGCATCATTGAACAAATATGCCCGGGATTCGTATTTTTATAACCATTAAGGACACTAACACACCTCCACCCAATCAGAACACAGCCAAGCTCCCACCCAATCAGTTAATACCCCCACTGGCAGTTAAAAGGAAGAAACAGCTAAGACCACACATTGCTGCTCGAAGCACAAAGCTGAAAACACCAGCCTGAAGATGACGAATGGGACTTCGTCGAAACGTCGCAGCCCTTCCAATTTTACGGGAGAAAACCCGAACAACCAAAGACCTACATACAAAAACACCCGCGAGTGTGAGGAGATCTTTGTTAATTCGGTCTAGGAGGAATCTTTTTGTGTGAAGTTCATTTCTGATTAGGGCCAATTCTGTTCTTTTCAGGATCCGTTTGGTGGCTGCAGAGTTGGAGTGGAATTTCAGTTGGAAACATGTGGGGATTAGATTTTGCGTAGGAATGCGAGGTCGCATAAAATGGAAGCTCTTTGGACTTCAAGTTTTTCATAGGTCCTGGTCAGATGGTGGATTTCCTCCCCGTAGAGGTTCGATATTTGTTTTCTGAGGTTTTCGCGGGTATTTGTATGTAGGTCTTTGGTTGTTCGGGTTTTCTCCCACGTAAAATTGGAAGTGTCTTGGCGACGTTTCGACGAAGTCCCATTCGTCATCTTCAGGCTGGTGTTTTCAGCTTCGTGCTTTGAGCAGCAATGTGTGGTCTTAGCTGTTTATTCCTTTTAACTGCCAGTGGGGGTATGAACTGATTGGGTGGGAGCTTGGCTGTGTTCTGATTGGGTGGAGGTGTGTTCTGAATGGTTAGGGGCTTGGCTGTGCTCTGATTGGCTGGGGGAGTGTTCTGTTTGGTTGTGCTCAGGTTAGTCTGAGTTGCAGAGGGGTTTAAGATTTTGGGCTGCCTTGCTATTTTTTGGCTTCGCGTTCGTGGTCGTGTCTCCTCTTCATGGAGGGTGTCAGTTTGCTTCATGTATGGATTGGAGGGGTTTAAAGTGGCTAATGATGCAGCTGTGGTCTGGCTTCTGGTTTGTGGTCGTGCCTCATCATCGGTGTGGCTTTGGGTTTGTTTTTTGCGTGGATGTGTGGTGGTGACATCCTGTGTGGTTTTTGTGAGTGTGGGTCTGGTATCATTTTTTGTGTTAGGGAGTCGTTTGTCAATAAGGGCGGGTTTCCAAATGGCTGGTAGGCGGGAGGTATCATCTCGCTTGTTCATGCTGTGTGGGCGTTTTTCTATCTCGATGGCTTCTCTGATTATTCTGTTATTAAAATGTTCACTTTTGGCAATGGTTCTGGTATTTTTAAAGTCAATTTCATGTCCTGTGGCTTTAAGGTGTTGGACCAGGGAAGATGTTGGTTCCTCTTTTTTGACTGAGTTCTTATGTTCTTCAATGCGTGCACTTATTCTTCTGTTGGTTTGTCCGATGTATGTGGTGGGACAAGTGGTGCATGGGATTTCGTATACTCCTTGATTTTCTAATTCAATTTTATCTTTGGGGTTTCTAAGGATGGTGGATATTTTTCTGTTTGTGCAGAATGCTGTTTTGATGTTGTGTTTATGGAGGATCTTACTGATTCTGTCTGTGGTGCCTTTTATGTATGGGAGGAGGGCTTTGCCGTTTTCTTGTTCTTTGTCTTGGATTTTAGTGGGGGTTTCTTTTTGGATTAGGTTTGTAATCTTATTTCTTTGGAATCCATTGGATGTTAGTACATTGGTGAGAGTGTGTAGTTCGGTTTTTAGGTGTTGTTCGTCAGCTAAGCGTTTTGTTCTGGAGATGAGTGTCTTGGCTACAGAGTTGATCTGTGCTGGGTGGTGGTGTGAGAGAGCGTGCAGATAGCGGTTTGTGTGTGTTTTCTTCTGGTAGATGGTGTGTCCTAGGGAGCCATTGGATTTCTTGTAGACTAAGACATCCAGGAAGGGAAGTTGGTTGTTAGCTTCTGTTTCCATGGTGAACTGTATTTTGGGGTGTAGGCTGTTGAGGTGTGTGAGGAAGTTGTCCAGTTTTTCTTTCCCATGTGGCCAGATTATGAAGGTGTCGTCTACGTATCTGAGCCAGAGTTTGGGTTTGTGATCCGATTTTTCTAGAGCTTGGGTTTCAAAGTGTTCCATGTAGAGGTTGGCAATGACAGGTGAGAGGGGTGATCCCATGGGTGCTCCTTCTGTTTGTTTGTATTTTTGTCCGTTATAGATGAAGTATGTGTTGGATAGGCAGTGGTTGGTCAGATCTAAGATGTGTTTGGGGGGGTTATATTTGTTTTGAATAGCTGTCAAGGCTTCTTTGATAGGCACTTGGGTGAAGAGGGATATGACATCGAAGCTCACTAGTAGGTCGCTGGGCTGTAAGTTTTGTTTCTTTATGATCTCTATAAACTGGAATGAGTTTTTTACGTGTGAGGTGATGGATTCTGCATAGGGCTGTAGTTGTTTGGCGAGAAATTTGGCTAGGTTTTGTAGAGGTGAGCCTATGGAGCTGACTATAGGTCTGAGTGGGGTTCCTTCTTTGTGTATCTTGGGGAGACCATAGAGTTTGGGGCATCTGGATGATTTCTCTCTGGGAATGATTCTTTGCTGGATCTCTTCGCTAATGGGGGAGGCTTTTATTTTGGATCTGGTGGTTTTTTCCAGGTAGGTGGTGGGATCTGTATTTAGGGGTTTGTATGTGGAGTCTTGGAGTAGGTTGGTTAATTTGGTTTGGTAGTCAGATGTGTTCATAACCACCGTGGCGTTGCCCTTGTCTGCTGGTAGGATTATTATGCTGGTGTCTTCTTTCAGGTTACGTAGTGCTGTCTGTTCCTCTTTGGGTAAGTTGCTTTTGGGTGGCTTGCTGGTACAGAGGATGTTGGTGATTTCGAGAATGCCAGAAACAAACCCCTCCTCCCTCACAGCCACACATGAAACAAACAGTGCATAAAATCTCAGATAGGATCCTCACCAAAGCCGAAACCAATGTCCTTTCCAAAGGATTCAACTTTGCAGTCACTCCCAAACACATCCCCACTGAAACCATTATATGTGGAGTTGAAACAAGCCTGACCAAAATCAACCCCGACGACGCTAACAGAATCAGACTCGAAATCACCAACATCCTCTGTACCAGCAAGCCACCCAAAAGCAACTTACCCAAAGAGGAACAGACAGCACTACTGGGGAAAAAAGCACATTTGATAGAGTTTGCACATCATGCTAAATCTTAAACCTTATTTGATTAGCCTGAGTAAAAGACATTATTCAATAGAAGATTATTTAATATCTAAACATCCAATATCTAAGAAACTGCTACAAAGGAGGGTCAACCTAGTCTCCACAGCAGCTGAAGTCAGGACAAAAAGCAATAGATGGAAACAAATCAAGGAAAGAAGCAACCTAGAACTAAGAAGAAATTTCCTGACAATTAGAACAATTAATCAGTGGAACAACTTGCCTCTAGAAGTTGTGGGTGCTCCAACATTGGAGGTTTTTAAGAAGAGATTGGACAGCCATTTGTCTGAAATGGTAGAGGGTTTCCTGCCTGAGCAGGGGGTTGGATTACTAGAAGACCTTCAAGTCCCTTCCAACTTTTTTTTTATTGAAATTTTTATAAACTTTTTACAATAAAATACCTCCCCCCC